TCGCGGATGTCAAACACTGATCGATCTGACGTGTGTTGCAGGCTTATTGGCTCACTGACGCTGATGAGATTAACCCCTTAGGTATCGAAATTTGGTACCAAACGATGAGACGTTTTTCGATACTCGATGGTATCGAGGCAATTCGGTCGGTGCCTAAAAAGTATCGAACTCGATACCCAGCCCTACCTATACTATGGAAATCAATAGGGACCAGCAACTGTTTAGTTACAATTCTTTAAAATATCTTCTTTTGTGTCAAGCAGAAGAAAAAAACTCATACATGTTTGGAACAACTTGAGGGTGATTAAATGATGGCTGATTTATAATTTTGTTTTGAACTATCCCTTTAATTATTACATATATAATTTTTTTTTTTTTTTTAAGTCTATCCCTAAATATAGTTTCCGGAAAGATTGCAGTTTTATGACATCACCAAAAGCATATGATTACATGATATGCATGTGTCATGCATCACAGACCAAGCTTACTAATGGGATAATGGGATGAGGGGCCATCTAGAGGCCCAAGGCATGCAGATGGTCCCTGGGGGCCCCTGAGCAACCGGGCTGATCACCTTCCTGTTACATAAAGGGTCACAATTCATCTCAGTTTACCTCACACTTTAAAAGTCTGTAGGGAAGTATTACAGTATTGCTAAAAATAGATGTACAACATACAAAGTCTGACACACCTATATGATAATTGAAAGTACCAAAGTCTTTCAAATGCCCTAGCCCTTTACAACAGAACCCTCCCAATACAGACTCAAAAGATTCTGTCAAAATACTGACAACTCAACTTCTGAATAAAATACATTCTGAAATACACTGCAAACAAGGTTGTGGAAATTTCAGTTCACGTCCTCTCACCACAACACACCTCAAGATGGGCAGACAAGGAACTTGTTTTCAGCTTCGCGTGGTGAGAATGACAGCAAAGCCTAACATGATTCAGCATATTTCTGATTACTCTTACATCTGTCATAAAGAAACAAACTGAATATCATCCATAATGAACGACTATATCTCAACTACAGATCCCAGACCAGCATTAAATTAAATCTAGCACATGATGTACTCAGTGATGCAGTGAAGTTTAGCCAAAACCTCTCCAAACAAAGCAGCCAGTGAGCCAATCCTGTTACATTTATTCCAAATTGTATCACAACAGCATGTGTGTAGAGCTATTCAAATGGGAATCTAGCTGAACATATGTATTTATAAATATTTAAATATAAGTTAAGCTTTTGAAATAGCAAATAGCTATATGATCATAACATCATTAGCAAAGTGAACGTTAACTGAAACAACATTTCTGTCCACTGCATATAAAAATACTTTGGTATGGTGAATTAAAACCATTTAAGTCGAATTATATTGGTATAATCTACAAAATGGCAAATTTAATAAACCAGTTAGTGGGGAGGGGCTGCTAACGTTATGTGACAAGCTAACAAAACAAAGCGCTATTTATATATTTCACAGACTTACAATAATAAGCGACCACCGGATCTCTTTTCTCATGTTCCTGCGCTGTTCTTAAATGGTGCTGGATCGGTTTCAGCTGCGATGGGAGCGCCATCCCGAAGAAAAGAAACTGTTACAAACTTCTAAGATTAGCAAGGGCCAAAAATAGCTAATAACAAAGATGACAGGCGCTCGCGAAGGAGCCGCTTCCGCGTCTTCAAGCGAACGCGCAGCCACGCCTTTACTGACCTCCATAGGCGTGGAGTGGGAAATGACCGACATGATCAGTGCTTAGCCTACTTTCATTCCGCGTTATAGACATATTGGATTATATACAGAGAATTCTGTTGAACGTATTGTTTATTTAGTTATCATATATTTTAAGGTGTAATTTGTAAATGTTTTGCCATACTAATTCGTTTAATTAATTATAGGCTACATTTATGTCAATTTTGCTTTTCTGTTTTTATTCTATTATACAGTATATTTTCATTAATAAAGAGTTATAATAATCAAGTTTTCATTTGTAAATGTTGTACAATGCAGTTAGGTGAACCTGTAGCTTTACTGTACAGCATTAATGTTACTGTCATAAAAGTCTAAAAACCCTCATAAAGTTATAAATTCCTGTTATAGATTCTTTTTTAATTGTATTCCCCTTATAATATGTATATCACATATATGGAAAGATGTAAACAAAAAAAGAATGACATGACTATTTTAAATATTTTTAATTGATTGAAACTTCACAAACATTAGAAAATCATTGTATCTGACAGAGTGCCAAGGATTCACAAGCAGTTCTGTTTATTCTGACCTAGACTGATAATACATTATGGCAGTCATAAAATATGCACCAATTATTAGATCTATATGAAGATTTTCATGCATAATCATATCATAAATCCCACAGACATTGATCAAAAACCAATATAAATGATCAACTCTTTACACACAGTGCAAAAGCTATTACTCAAACAGCTGTGGTGTTGAACAGTGGGAAGGCAACTGTGGGAAGATGTGCAGGCCAGACCTGCTGTCAGATCTCCACAGATGTTTCATTTATGCATAAATAGTATTCTTATAATAAATAGTTACCCGCTGACACAAAATAAGAGATCACAGTATGCCATTTTGTACCTGAGATGAAACACTTAGCTGAAAATAATAACAAAAGTTGGATGGATGCCTGATAAAAACGTACAGATACAGATACTACAAACACAAGATAATGGACACAAAACTATATGGAAATCAACAGCATGATGAATATACCTATGTGCATGATTGTAACTAGGTACCATGCACCATTCAATTATGTTTTTAGAAACTGATGCACTATTGCATGTACTTATTCTTCCTTAAGAAGAATGAAATTTAAATCAAATAATATTTGTCAAAATAGTACTTGCAATTTGTGTAGTACTTCAATATCGAAATCTGAAAATATTATTGCAAAGATAATAATTACCTACCAAATATTTATGTGGGTTTGGATTACACAAGATTAAAAAAAAGAGTGTCTCTTGCTAGAGAGGTGTTTTTTAGACTTAAAAAAATCTGAAAAGCTAAAAAGATTAATGAGTCCCTTGCCATTAATTAGGCTTGTTTTGTTTTGATTATTCCAGAAAAGGAGTAAGTTGTCTTGTTTTAAAAAAGCATGTATTCCTGTGTCTACCACCAAAAAATGCAGAGGTATGTGGGTTTATGTCCTGTCTGTCATTCAGAGACCCAGAGAACACATAAAACAAACACTGCTGAAGCATCACTCAAAACACTTCCTAAATTCTCAAGTCACTGGCTGGTTTAAATAACCGAGTCTTTGGAACAGAATCTCAAAAATCTCAGCGATACAGAGGAGTATGGTGATGATGGTGAAGGTGTACATCGCACTGAGGAAGATAGTCTTCTCAAAGTGTTCAGGGACCATACACTTCGAGATGTTGAAGATCTTTGCAAGGGCACTGGCATCGCACATATAAATAGGATCAACCAGGAACCCAAAAAGGTGGCTCTGAAGCCAAAATGCTAAGACTTCCAAAATGATTCTCAACAGGACAGAGATGATGTAGAAGACTGTGGACACTGGCTGCTGAAGGATCTCCTCCTGGTCTATATTTTTACAGGCAGCATAAAGATGAAACACAGCTCCAGGTACCAAGACAGAGACTAGCTGCAACGCCCAGAATACCTACAAACAGACAAAAAAAAAAATGTATTACTTTTCTGTCTTTAGGTTTGTTTGTTTTTCACTTTGTCATTTCGTCCTATAATATGGTTTTTTTTTTGGATGAAAAATGAAAATATGCTGACAATTTAGTCAGCCTCATGCCATCCAAGATGTAGATGAGTTTGTTTCTTCATTTGAACAAATGTGGAGAAATGTAGAATTACATCACTTGCTCACCAGTGGATCCTCTGCAATGAATGGGTGCCGTCAGAATGCGAGTCCAAACAGCTGATTAAAAACATCACAATAATCCATAAGTAATCCACACGACTCCAGTCCTTATTGTCTTGTGACTTGTAAATCTGTGTGTTTGCAATAAACAAATCCATCAAGACGTTTTAAACCAGTGCTTTGCTTCTATTAAAGTAACGTTAAGACGTTAACTGATGGCCTGGAGTCGTGTGGATTACTTATGGATTATTGTGATGTTTTTATCAGCAGTTTGGACCCTCATTCTGACGGCACCCATTCACTGCAGAGGATCCATTGGTGAGCAAGTGATGAAATGCTTAATTTCTCCAAATCAGGTCAATCAATGAAGAAACAAACTCATCTACATCTTGGATGGCCTGAGGGTAAGTCAGATTTCAGCACATTTTCATTGAACTATTTCTTTAATTTATCTCAGTGGAAGTGTCTGTTAAGGACTGATTTTTTTTTACATCCATGTTTTGATTATTGGATTTCTGAAATAGTTTCAAGGGTCCCGTAGACTGCATATACCTAAATGCCAAATCTTACAGTTACATGTTTAGATTAGTAAAATGAATTCATGAATTAATAAAAAGCTGTTAGCTTCCCAGAATTCATCTGTTTTTCTTAATTTCTACTTTCTACTTCTTTCTGTATCCATAGTCAATTTTGCTTGTCCTTTCATGCATATTTTGATACCACAATAGCAGATTATTAATTTTTTTTAAACTTTTACCTGAGGTGTTATAGGCCTGAACTGGTTGTAACAGTAAAGGTTTATTTCCCTTTTGTCTGGATCACAGCTGAAGTGGAGGGCCTCATTGCCATAGACGGCGAATCCAAGGACTCCAAGGAAAAATGTACGCACTAAGCCAAAAAACAGCGTGTGGAACTGGCCTATCACTGTCGGAGGCCTGAGCTGAAATATGCAATGAAGAGATTATAACATGCAAATGCAAGACCAGACATGCATCCACTAAAATCAAGTTTATATTGAATTTTTCTAATTTTGCATATAAAGATAAAACTTTACATTGTATACTTACACATCCTTCATAACAGTTTTTGATGTAGTTTAATGACATAATTTGGCTTCACAACTCTCACAATTTGGCAATTGTGAACCTCCAAATGACCTTTCGCTTTAGAAACCCCTTGTCAATGCATTCTCTTTTTATCCGCATGCAGTGCCTTCATCAATTTACTCACACAGTGCAAAAAAAAAAGAAAAAAAAAAAGGAAAATAACAAAGGCCACAGGACATGTGGTCAGCCCATAGGCTAATCCCTATTCAACTCTGTCAGCGAAAAAAAACAACTCTTGTATCTCACAATAGAACAGAGCAAACATGACAATTGCAACGCAATGCAATTGTACCACTGGGCAGATCACATAATGGAAAACAACAATTAATAAATTACTCAAATTCCTGAGCACACCTTAAACAGGCTATTCAAATCAAGGTAACAATAAATGGCATTTAAGTTAAGTGCATTTTTAAAACAATGGTTGGTTGAGTAATGATATCTTGGGATTTTGACTCTCTAAGACACTAGCAAATTATATTGATGTATATAGTTCCATAAACATATATATTTTTCTTTATTACATATATCTATATATTATATTTGTAGCTACACATCTACCTCAGTTAACTGCTTAATAGGCCTGTTTATGTTTCTAGACGTTCCTGCAGTGTTTCTACTCTAAAACTACAGCACGAGTAACGTTCACACAGTAAGAAACGTTTCACAAACGTTAAATCGTCTATTAAAAGTCCACACACCAACCGTAATCCAGGCGGAGAGCTGTTCATCCCCCTTCTCAAATCAGAACCGAGGTCCTGCTCTCATGTCACTGCGTCCCGAGGGAAAGACAGACCTGCTGGAAAAGCAGCATGTTTGGGGGCGCCTATGGGATCAGAATCCCGCCTAAAAACATGATTTTGTGCGCAAGTCAGACAATTTTGCATTAATATTTAAATTTTGTGCAATATGATTTTAAAACGTGTTTAAAGTTTTGATTCATGCTTATTATTTAAAAAAATGCGTTATTAATTTTTTGATTTACGCTTATTATTTTTTAATCCGTGACCATTGTTTGCAATTCTGAAAACTTTGCTTTCATTTTTAAATCTTGTGCAATATATTTTTTACTTGCGTTTTTAAATTTTGTTTTCATGCTTGTTCTTTTTTTATCCGTGACTGCAATACTTTAGGCGGGGCGCCTTTCTGACGGCAAGCTTTTTCGACTCATAAACCAAAGAGCAAACAGACAAGCAAGGCATCAAAGAAACGTAGCAAAGAATAGATCATTATGGCCACAGAGATGCTAATTACCGACATAAGAGTACTGGGGTCTGGCGGTCATTGCGCACGTGATGCACACACAAGCATAGGTGTCAATCAGAGTGATGCTTCATATATGACCATGCTTGATTGTTTTATTAGCGCACAGAGATCATGGTATAATAGAGGACTCTGTTATATGAGTTTACATTATTAGTGCGACACCATTGCCGTACTATAAATATGCGTTTGTCTATTTATAGCCTATTGTTTGTGCATTAAAAAGTCACTGAAAATAAAAACGCAATTTTCCAATTTCTTTGAAAATAAAAGTAGGCCTAAATGTGTAAATTACGTTCCATACGTCTGACTCAAAACTAATTTAAAATGCAATTCTTTATAAATAAATAAAATGCTTGAATATGCCTCTTCTCTAATGAACGTGTTTTAAATTTCTCTGGAAATTGCGAAAAAAAAAAATCTGATTAAATGACTGAATCCTTTGGGCATAGCTAAAGATTTTTATTTTTTTTCTAAAATGTGG